GTTTTACAATAGTGGAATTGCAGTACATTATTATAGTAGCAATAGCTGGAAAGTTATCTGCACTGACCGAGAAATTGTCCTAACAACTGCGGAAATTTGTTTGAAGACATTATTTAGTGCGCCGAGCCCTTTCGTAGTAGCTATATCACATAGCTGGGCGCTTATAATCTCATATTACGTTCTCACAAGCAAAACTATGTTAAAGGTTTTTTTTTCTTCGACCAATAACTTCAAGGTGTCACGCGTAGTTAAACCTCGATAGAGGTTTTTTATCCGGGATTGCTTTTCATTAACAAAAAATGCTCCAAGCACGTATGCTACCACTTTTTAAAATCGGAAACAAGTTGAGAAATACCTCAACAATTCGACAAAAGATACATAGTTCGTACTCTTTCTACAATAATTATCAAAAGTGTTTCGAATTACGAGTGTAATAATCAAAATGCACTCATTGAAAAATAAATAAAAATTCGAAGAGTTAATATTTTGTCATGGCACTATCAATCAGCTTGACCCTATATGTACCCAAGATATATTGAAGAGGCTGTTAATAGGAGAGAAAAAAAGAATTTCATAACCTTTCATTCAGATGACATCCCTCCATTATGCAGCTAAGTACGGTTATCCGAAAGTAGTCGAATTGCTTTTAAATCGAGGAGCAGATGCAAATTATCCAGATAGCTTGAATTCTTATGCTCCATTACATATGGTAGCCAAATACGGTAAATTAGGACGACATCGAAGCAGTAAAGCCAAAGGTAAGCTATTCTCTTGCAACAAATGTCTCATCCTTGAACCATAGTGCTGTGTCCTTTTACTGCAGACACTGCTGTGTCGAAGTTCATCGACACGTCCACACGACGATTTCAGTCTTTGCCAGAAACAGATCGAATACCTGATGAGGTTGACTCCACTAGCACCATTATTGATCTTCTCATAAAACATGGAGCGTGAGTATCTCCATTCAGTCTTTTTGTAAAGTAGGAGAAAACAAAATTTTAGAATTGTCGACATTACTGACAGCTACATGATGACTCCATTGCATCATGCTGCACAAAAGAACAACGAGATAGGAGCACGCGCACTCATTAAGAATGGAGCAAAAGTGAACGTAAGTTCGTAAAATGCATCAATAATTATGAATTCTCTAAATTCTCAAGTACACTACCGTCATAATTAGGGCAGTTGAATCCTTAAACTCAGTTTGGAAGCTTAGTTACTTTTTCGCGATTACATATGAGATAGAAAGGATGAGAAATGAACTAAAATTTCGTTGAAAACAGTTCTTGTTAATTCGTTGTCGCAAAGAGCAAAAAAAAAACTTTTACTACCTATATTTCTCAAAATATCAAACTAAA